GAGAGAGAGAGAGAGAGAGAGAGAGAGAGAGAGAGAGAGAGAGAGAGAGAGAGAGAGAGAGAGAAAGAGAAATACATACAGACACACACATCTTCATCATAACCCTGAATCAATCCACTGCAGGACGTAGGCCTCTCCTAATCTTTTCCAACTTTGTTTTGCGTTTTTTGTTTTCAGTCTTGGTCTCCAAATTTCGTTATTTCATCACGCCGTCTTGGCCTCTTTATGTTATCTATAGCCCAGTCTGTTACATTCTTTGTCCATCTGTCGTCCTGTCTCCGACATATATAACCTGCCCATTGCCATTGTTTTCTTTTTGATGCTCACAAATATATCTTCCACTTTTGTCTGTTCCCTGATCCACGTCGCCCTCATCCAATCTCTTAGGCAACTTCCCAGCATCAACCTCTCCATCCCTCTCTGGGTACCTATTAGTTTCCTCTTCAGTAATTTGGTTGTAGTTCATGTTTCTGATCCATAGGTCACAACTGGGAGGACGCATTGGTTAAAGACCTCTCTTTTTAAACATAATGGCAAGGAGCCTCATAGTATGCTACTGTGGCTGCCGAAGGCGCTGCGGCTAAGCCTGATGCGTCGCTTAATTTCCTCTTTGCTAGATGTGTTTGTCTGTACGAGTTGCCCTAGGTATATATACTTGTCCACTACCTCTAGCGCTTCGCCTTGTACATGTATCTGTTGAATTGAATTCTACTGTTGAACACGATCTTAATCTTTTGCTTGTTCATCTTAAGTCCGACCTTCAGACTTTATCAGATCGTTCATTAGTTTCTCATTTCATTTGTAGATTCACTGGAGAAAACAATATAATTTGCAAATCTTAGATTGTTTAGGCATTCGTCTCCTATTTTGATACCCTTTCCATTCCATTTTAGCTTCTTGAATGAGCTCCTCAAGGCAAGCCTTAAACAGTTTTGGTTGAAATGGTATCGCCCTGTCTAACACCTTTTTTAGTGGTATTTTGTCGGTTTCCGTGTGGAGCTTGATGGTTGCTGTCCCACCTTTCGAATACATCTTCCAGTATTTCTAAAATATGCCTCCTATACTCCCTGTCTTTGTATAGCTTCTAGTACAGCAGGTATTTGTAAAGAGTCGAAAGCCTTTTCGTAATCAATGAATACCATGCTCAGGGGTTTCCTATACTCGTTTATTATTTCTCCTATTTGGGTGAGCGTGTGTATGTGGTCTGTTGAGAATCCACTGCGGAAACCTGCCTGTCCTCTAAATTGGTAAGAATCCAGACTGTCAGAGATGCGAATTGTGATTATTTTTGTGAACAGTTTGTAACTGAAAGGAGGCTTATGGTTCGGTATTTTTTAGAGCCTTTCTATCCACTTTTTATGTATCAAAATAATTATTGCATTTTTTCAGGCTTTCTTTTTCCGTTGAGAAGGCATTTGTTAAAAAGATTGGCAGATTTCACTGTTGCAATTTCTCCTGTAGCTATTATAAGGTATATATTAATTCCATCTTCACCTAGTGTTTTCCCTCTCTTCATGCCTTTAAGCACTTTTTTTTTATTTCCTCTGATGTGATGTTAGGTACGGCTCTAGTTACCAAGTTCTCCTCTATCCGAGGTTGTTCAATTGAGTTGTATAGATCCCTGTAAAAGTCTTCCACTATTCTTCTTTTTATTTATAGTCTTTGTTAGTTCAGCTAATTCTATCATGTTCCTGTTTGACGATACTTTCATGACCCTACATTTTTGCATAAGCTGTTTAGTTTCGATCGAGAGCTTCTGGAGCTTTGCTTGATATTCTTACCGCCTACTTCAAGTGCAGCTCCCTCTATTACGTTATTGAACTGTTTATTGATTTGGTCAAAGCTGAGAAATGAATATCTGTTTTGGATGTCAAGGTTAAATTCTGTCGCTCTGGTCTTCAAGTTAGCTAAATCTGGCTGCGCTTTTCGTATGAGTTTATTCCTATCCCTTCTGGGGTGTAATCTAATTTGGCCCCTGACCATTCTGTGGTCGCTGCCAATATTTACTTTTTTAATAACTTCCACATTTTTTTACGTTATCGCTCCTATTTGAAATTAAGTCAATTTCGCTTTTGACGTCAGACGGTAACTTCCATGTCCGCTCCAGTCTTTTTCGAAGAATGTATTCATGATATTGAGTGATCGAGCCTCCGCAAAATCGAATGGCATTTGTCCCCTCTCATTCCTAGTGCCTATTCACTAGACAATCAAATGTCTATCCCCTTCCACAAGAGCTATGCATTGTTGTAACATTACCTTTCATCACCACCGATTGTCACATGGTAAGCACGTGATTTATACCCATCGTTAATCCACTGTAGGAGATGACAGGCAGACTCCCTGCCTGTCTCCTCGACGCAGCCGTATTCCTTCATTACTATGCAATAAAGGAGTCAAGACATCTTGGTTGTGTACCTTACAACTGAAGCTCGCCACCTACCGCACTCTTGTAGGGCCCATCATTCGGCCCCTACAGTGTGTGTGTGTGAGAGAGAGAGAGAGAGAGAGAGAGAGAGAGAGAGAGAGAGAGAGAGAGAGAGAGAGAGAGAGAGAGAGAGAGAGAGAGAGAGAGAGAGAGAGAGAGTGTGTGTGTGTGTGTGTGTATGTGTGTGTGTGTGTGTGTGTGTGTGTGTGTGTGTGTGTGTGTGTGTGTGT